GAAATAATATTGTTTATGAAATTAAAATTTTTTTGAACTCTAAATTTAAAAAAAAAAAAAAGAATTTTTATGCGGCAGCGACAAAATTTAAACTAAAGATTTGCGCTACATTTCTGATATTTCTTTATTATAGATTGAATTTTCGAACGCATTTTATTACATCCAGTAATTTCCGAACGATTTATATTTTCAATGTATGTAGCGTAAATTTTCAAACGTAGTACAACCTAAAACTATTCTAGAAGTGAATAAACTAAAACACCCTTAGTAGTTTGTTAGTTTTTTTTTTTGATTCTACAGCAGCAATTGAATGGATATTTTCGCATAATACTATTATAAAAATCAAATTAACAAATCATTTGCTATAATGTACAGGCTATGTCATGTTAATTATGTAAAAGATTTTTTAAAAAGTGAAGGAAAAATTTTAAAGACATACCAATTCTTTATCGCTATATTTTTTTAAGTAATTTTTTCTTTTCTTATTTAAACTAATTTCTTCTTTTGTAGATTAAATTATTTTTTAATTATAATAAATTAAATAATACTAGGTATGAATTAGAATAGAGAATTTATGGTGGGTATGAGTGAAAAATTTGTTATGAAAAAAATCTCGTAAAGGGTTAATATGCAAAAGAAGTAGAAATTTATATGTACATTATTGCTCTATATATAATATGCTATAAATAGCATGTAATTGTATTTATATTTATAAATATCTAGTTATATAATGTTATATAACATAAATATAATGTTGTTTTTAAAAGTCTTTTCATTTTCAGTTTTAATTTCTATTTTCTTTTCTATATCTTTTCTATATTATATTAAATACTAATTTTTTTTTATTCTTTTGATTTAAATTTTTTATAATCTCAATCTAAAATACTTAATTGCCTTTAGGTTAAGATGGATATGACTACTAATAACTAAAATATAAAAAAAAAAGTAGTTAGATTATAAAACAAAAAAAAACAAAAACAAAAATAGGTTATCATCATTTTTTTTTTCTTTTATTTCTTATTTTTTAAGATAAATTTAGTGAGGTTATCTTTAATATGCGAAAAAAAAAAATTAAAGTTTTAAATATTTAATATTGGAAATGATTGAATTTTTATTTAAAAAATGATGTTAACAAATAAAGACTAGATAAAGAAAAATAAAGCGAATCATCCATATAAGAAAATTTAAACCAAATAGAAATAAAAGTATCTTTGCTGTTGGTCCTTGTGTTTCTTAAAAGGTATCCAAATATTTATTTAAAATAAATGTTTTCCTATGTTATACTTGTATAAGATAAAATTATAAGAATTTTATATTTAGTATTTGTAGGAAGAAATGAACATTTTTTGTACTATTAATATTATTTTTTTCATATTTAAAAATGAAAAACGAAAATAAAATCTTATTTTTCATATCCTTCTTACATTTAAAATAAGTATGTATGTATATATCTACATACATATATAAAATCTAGGTCAGTTATTATTTTTTTATTTTCTTAAAATTTCAATTTTTCCATACTCAAACTTAATGTTTGTAAAAATAAAATATATAAATCGAAAATAATGCAAATAAATGCATTCATAATTGTACAAGAGAATAAGAAAAAAAACAACAACAAATAAAACAAGGACATAATAGATTTCTTGCAATATAAAGAAAATGAGGTTTAAAAACAATTTTTTTTTTTTTGTTTTGTATTTTATAAATTATTTAAAATTTGAACGAGTTTAAGAATAACAAATAAGTATAAAACACATAAACGGGAAGTAATTAACTTGATATTGTGCATATATGTATAAGTATATATCTTTATACTTATAAAAATTTTTAATACCTATAATTGTTCTTACGCGAATTTTTAACTATCGCTCATATGGCTTATACATGTGACACAATTCAAAAATATTTGATTCTTAATTTAAATTTAATTTAAAGATTTTGATCCTTGACTTCTAAAATGCAATACGGTATTAATACAAAATTCAGCAATTCGAAATTATAAGCAATGGTGTTGTAATACCGAATTGGTGCATTTTAGAAATAAAGGAATCTTTAAATAAAAATTTTATTATAATGGGTGAGATATTAAAATTTACAGTTTTAATTTACTGGAACACCTTTTCGTCTTTTGATTAATGATTTTTTTTTTAAATTCGGCTCAAACTTTGAGTCACTCTACATTTTTAGTCAACTACTTTTTCAGTTCTAGCCCAACAAGGGCGCTAATTTACGAATATGGTAATTTTTTGATTTGAATAATTAGGTACTTTGAATTAAAAAAATGTGATTTTTAACAGGGAAAATACTTTATTGCATAGGTAGGTACCAACATTCATTAATTATTTAATATGTTTCTCAGACTCCAATACGTAAAGCACTCAACATTCAAATTGACAAAATTAAAAATTTTTCATATGCTTAAAAAAAAACACTCTCAAATTACAATTTTAAGGTTAAATCAACTTTTATAATCAAATTTCTATTTATTATTCTAGCAATTCTTCGTTAAAAAAAAATTATTGAAAAATTCATTAAAATAGAAAAAATGTTACAACAGTATTGGCTCATGTATGCAAAAGTATCATTAATACAAAATATTTGTAAATTATAACGATTAGTGAATATTACTGGAGAACGCTTGTTTTATTGAATGAAATCGGAAAATAAAAATGTTATTTTTTAAACGGAAAATTTATAATTATGTTTCATGTTCTGGACAATATGTCCAGCATATTAAAATTAACAAAATACTAAGGTCTTAAGTTTAATAATAAGCACAGATACATACCTTTGTTCTTGTACTAATTAAATCTTATATTATTGAATCCTTCATTGGAAAATATTAATAGCTAGCTACATAATGTACATACATACATATTATGTTATGTACTTGTATTTCATTATTTTTCCACCTAGAAAGCAAACAACTTACATAGTTACTTTCTTCAAATATAACTTCTTTTCAATATTGTTATAATCAAACGGAATTTTACCCTCTGAATTTCAAAATGTTTCATTTTTCTTTTATTTAATATAAGAAAAAAATCAGAGCTTTCATTTGTTAATTTTGAATTAACTTATTTAAAGTCCACATTATGCACCAATAGCGTCTTCTAATTCCATGTACTCCTCCATTTTGAATTTTGTTTAATAGAAAAATTAATTTTCCATTTCTTCGATTAAAATTAGAAATTGGTGCCAATCAATTAGTTACCTTCACACTAAAATTCATAAAATTACTTAATATTGCTATTAAAATTTCTAATTATACTTACATATTTCCCATTTTCTTTAATTTTTATTTTACAGTAACTCTTAAACCACAGTTGACCGCAAAATATACGCGGCTAAATGTGACAAAAAAAATAATATGACATTTTTTACAAGTGCGTCTAATAGAATAGCATTCCAGACGCTTTCTGAAATGCTGTTCATTCAATATTCAACTTGGTCCCTCAACTCTTTTAAAAATACAGAAAGTTTTAAATACGTTGAAAACAACAACCTTTTAACACGTTAAATTATTAGCAAACTACTTAATCAACCACTTGATGGTTCAAAACTTAAAAAGTTAAAAAACATTAATTTTTTTGTGTTGTTTGTGTGTTGTGTGTGTGTTGTTTTTAATATTTAAATAGTGTAAGAGACACTATGTTGATCAACGTGTTTTTGAACGTGCTTAAGGACCAAGTTGAATAGTGAACAGTCAAAATAACAAATAGTGAGACGCACGAGACGCGCATCTAATAGAATCGCAAATCTGTAACGTCAACGTCACAAAACTTTATGTTCGGGCGCGTCTAGTAGCATAACGCTGGTTTTTATTTTATTTAAATTCTGTTTAAAATCCAAATTATTTGCAATAAAATTAAATATTTTAGTTAATCTAATAAAATATTTTGTAAAATTAAATAAAGTAAAATTTAAATCCTCAATATCCAGAATAATCAAAACTACTAACCTAAAGAGAAACGCATTCGTATAGAAAAATTTGCCATGAATACTAAAGTGTGTGTAAGTTTTTAAAATTTAATTTTTTTTTAGTATAAATATTATGATATTTAGATAAACTTAAGTATTAAATCAATTTATAAAAAAAAAACAACCCAACAGATGTAAATCCAAACACTAAATAAAAACTAACACCTATGCGTATGATCCCAAGTTTGCTTAATTTTACAAAATCACAAAATCATTAACGGTAGAATCTAGTTGGAATTAGTAGATAAATATGTATAACATTTTAAAATAACAGATGAACTGTGATTTTGAAAGCTTTTCAAAATTTACATTTTTATTTATTTTTTTCGAATATTAATATTGAAAGGGCCGCAATCTAATAAATCGTAACCTATAACACGTACATAATTCTATTACATGTCTTAAACCAAATTATAATCATCATGGTGGTCTTCTCAAAAACACAATTTTATCCCGTGAAATGTTATAAACTTATAATAAAATTATTATTACAAATAAATAAAAAAAAAATGAAATATTCCAATAGAAATAATGGCAGTAATCAGTTTTACTTATTCTGTATTCCTATTCAATATTCTTGTCTTCCATTCAATAATAAATAACAAATATTATTCATAACATCAACCATTCCATAGAATCTAATGCATTAAATTTGTAGCAAAGAATTTAAACTATTAACAATATTAAAATTCCATTAAATAAAAAAACCATTTTTAAATTATATTGAAAAAAGAGTAATTATTCTTTTATATTTTAAGCTAAAATTAGAATATTACCGAAGATACAACCAAATTATTAAATTTCATGACTTATCAAATTATTGCTATCAAACCAAAGTTTTTTCTTGCTTTTTTGTAAATTTTTATAAAATTTTATTTAATGGTTTATCAATCTTTAACCCTACATAATATTTATTCACTTATTTAATAATAAGAATAAGAAAATCATAATTTATTTTTTAAAGGCTTTATTTAGTTCAAATCAATTTGCTTATATTTTATACAAAATATATGTGTAGGTTTGTATACATGTACTTAGTAAGAAACTTTTTTAATTGGAAATATAATTTATATAATTTTTTAATTACTCTAATTAGCATCTTTACAAAAAAAACAGCAGTTTTTGTTAACATTATAACAATCATCATTTTACAAAGAAAAAATTTTAATTCCGAATCATTTTTGGAAACCTATTGATTTGAAATAATATAATGTGCGCGATTCCCATTATATTTTTATTTAAAAAAATACAATTTTCTAACAATTAAAGCTGTTTAGTGAAATTTAAATTACAATATAACAATATTTTTTTTTTTTTGATATTCAAATAAGTACAAAACCATTTAGAATATTGTTAAACCAACTATTTTTTACAAAAGTGGTTAGTAGCAAAATTTCAAATTTAAAATTAATAATTTTTTTTATTATTGAATATTAAATAAAAAAAAAAATAGTTTTTGTTTAATCTAGATGGTTATATTAACAACCAAAATATTGCTTTAATAAATTATTAATCAAATATTAAGAAATTTTTTGAATGTTTTTGTTTGGGAAGTACATTATTTTTCTTTTTCTAATAATTAACAAATATTTTATTCTTTAAAATCAGCTTTTCCTTCAAATGTACAACCACTGCGTTGAATAATTTGACGTGCTGCCCATATTCCACAACGAATACATACATCAAATGATTTTCCCTGTACCAATTGCCCTATAAAACCACCAACAAATGCATCACCAGCTCCATTTGTATCAACCATTTTGTCATGTTCTAAAAGTGGGACATTAAATTCGGAAATTTTATCTTTTTCAATTAAAAGAACTGGATCTTTTCCTTGAGTTAAAATCACAACTCTTGATCGCTTCTTATTAGCTTTCGGTAGTTGTAACATTTTTTTACCGATTTCTCTTAAATCTTTAGTATCCCAATTTTGTGCTTGCGCAAATGCTTCGGCTTCCTAAAAAATAATTTATTTTAAATAAATTTTTAGAATAATTAATATTAAGTAATATTTGTAATTTACCCCTTCATTTCCAAATATAATGTCTACATAAGGTAAACATTCCTCTAAAGCATCTTTGAAAGCTAACGGGATGTATGGTGCACTTAAATTCATTATGAATAAACGATTGTGTTCGAGAGCGGTTTTTGCTATTTCAATTATAGTAGGTACACTCACAGCTACAAAAAAGCCCTATAGTAAAATTAATACATATTTTCATATAATAATCAATTTAAGAAAAAGTTTTAAATAAAAAATGTATGTATGTATGTAAATTGTTTTTAATTGGTTTGATTTATTAAAACAATTTATTTTAATTAAAGCGTATACAAAAACACATTGGGTTTCATTGCTCAAATTTTTAAAATACAAATTTCAGTATGTTGTTGTTTATTAGAATTTCTTATATATATAATGTATAGGCAAAAAAAAATTAATACTTACAGATATATAATAATACTCAGCATTATCAATTAATTTTTTATTTTCTGGTTTTTGTATATGATCAATGGAAAAATGGATAGCTGCTGCTAAATTTGCACATAGTGAACGATGTGTATTAGTAACTAAAACAGCACATGTTCCAGTTGGTGCTTCAGATGTATGTTGATATTGTACATTAACACCATCTGCTTTAGCTCTTTCTTCTAAAATTTTTGCATACTTATCATCACCTACACATCCAAAATAAACTGTAATATTTGGTTTTTCTAAAATCCACTGGGCTACACGCAACGAATTTTGTACTGAGCCACCAGCAATATAATCTGGATTAAAATGTGTTATTAGATCATCGTATATTGGCATGTGCTGAGGTTCAGCTAATATTGCATTATCTCGTTCCAAATTATATTTTTTCAGAAATTGCTCATCGACATTGGCTGAAATATCAAGTAATGCATTGCAAACTCCTAAAACAATCCCTTCTCTGAAATGATATCAAAAATATCGTATAAAAAATAAACTTACGTAAAAATATGGAATTTATAAAAATATAACCTTAAATTCATGACTTCAAGGAAAATGTATGCTAATAAATTTGATACTCTCGATCAACCTTGTAATTCTACACAGTAATTAATCTTAACTAAAAATTCTAGTTTCTATGTTTGCTTATCGCTTAAATTCACAATTAAAGCTCTTAAAAACACAAACAAAATTTGATTGTTTACAAAAATTTTAATTCCCACCCCAAGAACCATTTCCACATTTTTTGTAGGTCATAACAGGTTAATCGTTATCATATTATAAATATTTGGGACTATCATCCTAACAACTTACTTCACATCTTTCATTTTTTCATACTATAAATTTCTAATCAGTTTAAATAAATTAAAATGTAAAAAAATTTTTTAATTGTTAACGATATAAGTTTCAACTATTTTTTTGTTGTCTTTTTTTTGTTTTCAAATTTGACTTTTAAAAGGTACTTTTGCCGAGCGATAAGAAATCTGTGTGACAATGCCACACTATAAAACTGAAGATTGTCATGAATTATAAAGGCGCAGTCATAATTGATGTAAATTGGCAAAATTAAATGCTAAATAATAATGATGTAAAGTTTTAAAACGGTCACTAATTTGTTTACATTTTTATGAATATTTCATCAGAATTGTGCGATGTACAAAAGTACATGTTTTACTTTGCGTATAACTTTATATTTTGTGAATTTTGAATACGTTATCATTTTGATTGAATTGGTGAAATAAACAAATGACAAGCTGTTGTTGGTGATTACGAGTACAAATTTGTTTCTCTACTCATGTTGTAACTCATTTATTAGAAATGAATAAATCTCGAGCCTAGTTTTTTAATAACTTGATTAAAAGTAGCGAGTTATTTTTTGGCAACGTCAAAGTATAATATTATATTGTGGCTTTGTACTTTTGTATTCTTAACGATGCTGGAAAAGCTTTAAATGCGGTTTAAATGTACAATTTAAAAAAAAATTTAACCAAATAATTTAAATTTTTTAAATTCTGACAACCGAATTGTACAAAATTTGACAAACGAAAAAATTATATTATGATTTTTTCATACATAATTTATTTTATCGTACACAATTTGAAGAAAAAAGAAATAGTTGATGCTGTAGGTCAAGTAAAATTTCTAAGCAAAAAATAGAAAAACAAAACTACAAGAAAATGGATGTAGATTGTTTTTTTTTGGTTTAAATTAGCAATTTCGAAGTATAGGCGTTAATTCTTTAATAAAGCGCGTGCTCTGATGGAGAAGGTTTTTTTTTTATACCGTTCAAGGAGTTAACAAAATAGTAGATTGGAACACAATCTCTCAGCCAAATTTTATTGTGTTTTATTACTCATTCAGAATAAATTTTTACGTACCGTATGAAACAGCAAATGATTTTCAATGTTTATTGTGAATTATAAAAATTGTGAACTGTAGGCAGTAGGAAATTAGACAACACAGGTGATCTCTGACATTTTACATTATTATTTACTTTGTTTCTTTTGCTGTAAATAATTGTTTGCAGATTTCAAGAAGTTAAAATTTCAGATTATCAATAAGGAATTGTATTAATTAATATTTCTATGCTTCATATAACGATTTAATATTTTTATAACATATGTGTTTTCAATGGATCAAATATTTCAAGAATTTGCATCAAATTTTGTACCGAATAATTATTTAACTATTTCTTTAGATGCTAAGAAAAATGTTTTGAAAAAATTTCGAATAATTCTTGAAAAAAAAAAAATTCCCAAAAATGGATGGAAGGATGATGAAATAGAAGAATTTATTAACTATATTTCATCTTTAGATAGCAATAATTTTCCTGTGACCTGTGGCATTGGTGAAAGGGAAGGTAGAATTGCATGTAAATTAGTTGCCCGGCGACACTTAAATTTTAGTCATGGTATTGGACGTTCTGGTGATTTATTAGAATCACAACCCAAAGCTGCTGGTTCATCTTTATTATCAACATTAACTAATTCATTAGTCTTAGATTATATAAAAAATATTGCCGGAGTAAAAAGTACAGCTTCTTGTTTTATAGTACCCGTTGCTACTGGAATGGCATTAAGTTTATGTTTTCTTACTCTTAGAAAACAGAAGCCCGATGCAAAATATATTCTTTGGTCGCGTATAGATCAGAAATCCGCTTTCAAAACAATCACCACCAGTGGTTTTATTCCAATTATAATTGAGCAACAATTAGATGCTTCAAGTGAGTTACATACAAATGTAAAAGAATTTGAGAATCAAATTAATGTATTAGGACCGGATAATATTCTATGTATATATTCGACAACGAGTTGTTTTGCTCCTAGGAATACTGATAATTTGGAAAAACTGGCTATGTTAGCCAAAGGGAATGAAATATTCCATATAGTCAATAACGCATATGGTTTACAATGTAGTAAAATTTGTCATATAATTGAAGAAGCTCAAAAAAATGGTAGAATTGATTTATTTGTTCAAAGTACGGACAAAAATTTTTTGGTACCAGTTGGTGGCTCAATCATAGCTGGCTTTAGAGAAGAGCAAGTTAAAAATGTTGCAAAAACATACGTTGGACGAGCATCTTCGTCTCAAACATTAGATGTTCTTTTAACAATTTTATCGTTGGGAGAGTCAGGTTTTAAAGAGCTATTGGCAGAAAGAAAAAATAATTTTATTTATCTTAATGAAAATTTAAAAATTTTAGCTGAATCATTAAATGAAACTATAATTAAAAGTGTTAATCCAATATCTATCGGTATGACTTTGTCTTCATTGAATATAAATGATGTCACAAAATTAGGTTCAATGTTATTTAAACGTGGTATTACTGGTGCTAGGGTTATTTCATGCACAGATTCAAAAACAATTGATAATTATAAATTTGATAATTGGAATAGCCATTATACTTCAAATAATCCTAAAATTCCATATATAACTGCTGCAGCAGCTTTAGGTATGAAAAAAGATGAAGTTGATGTATTTTGTTCTAAATTGAAAGAGTGCTATTTGAAATGTAAAAATTCGCTAGAAGTTGCATAATTAAGTACGTATTAATAGAAATCGAAATTAGAAGTTATAAAATTAAGATTTATTTTATTGCAAATATTAAAAATTTTTATAAAAATAACTTCTTTTTATACATTTACAGTAAAAAAAAATAACTTAAATAACAATGATATAAAAAAAAATAATTAACTCATAAGATTTATGAAATACAGAAAAAATAACTTCTCTTATTAATGTAAATATGTATGTGTATATAGGTTTATAATTTGATATGCTCAAATATCTTCATATGAAACAATGATCTAAAAATTTAATATATAAATAATATACGAGAAAATAGTATTCATTTTTATTTTTTAAAATATTCTTTAAAAATTTTCTATTTCCTAATTCCAACATTATTTGGTTGAATTTTAGAGCCTGTTACACCTGCAGTAATTGGGCTATTTAAAAACGTTGGAGTTGATTTGCGATTTTTAATTCTTGATTGTAGTGTTAACAATAAACCGCTTAAAACATCATGATTTGGAATTCGTTTTGCAAACAATAGACGTTTTACTGAATCATCATAGGTTAATAGCGCCACCATATTTTGCAATAAAAATCCTTGACAATATTCCATTAATTTTGGAGCATTGTAGACCTAAAAAATTATTTATAAAATTACAAAATTTTACAAAGCAAGGTATAAATATTTATAATTTTGTACTTTTGCATGAATATACATTGCAACAACATTATCAATATCAATCATTTCAGAACATCTCGCCTCCGTAAATCTCAAAAGTCCTTCTAACTGAAAGAAACTTGATGCTGCCATTAATTCAAGAACGTCATCGTTTGTTATTTCTAAGTTATTGCAATCACCGCTATATAAATATTGCATGACCAATTGGAAAATGTTGTATCGAATATCGTTAATCTGAACCGTTGGGGTATTGCTTTCACTTAATTTAGAACTTAACATACTTTGAAAGCGTGGTGACGCAGTAACAAGAACAATTTTATGTCCATAAAATATTTTCCCTTCAACTCTGTAATAAAAATGTTTAAAATTTATCACTGCAAACTTTATTGTTACTATTTTAAATTTTCAATTTACAAATATGTTGACCTTGATTTTATCAAAAAATTAAGGTCGTAGCATTGTGATTAAAAAAATATTTAGGGGATAATGACTTCGTTTAATTTCTAATTTAAAAAAAGAAAAAAATTATGCACAAACCTAAATGTGACATCACTCAATTCTGGGTTATTTACAAACTTTGGATCGATACGTGACCCATTTACTGGCTGTACAACATTTTCTTTAATAGGCTTTATTGCCTCCCATCCGAAACATGTTGCAAATATATCTGCCAGTAATAGTGTTGTACCTTCATTTTTACTGTATCTGAAAATATTGAATAAAAGAGGCAGGCATTCTGAAACAAATTGAGAACTGTAATCATCTGGGCAAACTTGAATAAAATCTTGTAATAATTGATCAATAACATTATCTAATCGAAGCTCATGTGCAGCAGCTAATGCGTGCATCCAACAATGTAATGTCCATGGTACACCTAAAGCTCTCAACTCAATGGTAATATCTAAAAAAATTAAAAATAATTAATAAATATTTAAGAATTTTATTTGAAACATTTTATTTCTTGCCTAAATGATTGTTTTCGGCACTGTGGTACATGGCTTCTTGTAAACTTTTGACTTGAGTTTTATTCAATGAAGGTGGTACTTCATTTTGCCTTTCTTGCGCCTGCCTTGAACTGTTGTCTCCTTCTGCCAACATCTCCTCTAAAGATAATACTTCTCTTGTGCCAGGAGATAAAGGATGTGATAATAATTTTCTAAGACAAGTTCTCTGACCATGAGCTGCTGCAACTGAAATAGATGAATAGCAACCCCGTTGAGCAGACCCCGCAAAACACATTGAATCTTTTTGTTGTGTAGTTAAAAATGCATGTGCTCCATGTGATAGCAATAATGCAACTACATCAGCGCAACCTGATCCACTGGCAACCTGCAATGGTGTCAAAGTGCATTTATCTTCGCTTAATCGTGCTCCGCCCTCTACTTTAGCTCCACGCTCTAACAATAATCGAACAGCATTATAATTTCCTTTACAGGCAGCGAATGTAACTGCAGTCCAATGCTGCGTCTCCGGATGAATAGCAGGACATCCAGCAAATGAGACTGATGGAACTTCAATATTTGGATCTGCTCCTGCATCTAGTAAAGCTTGTATGGCAACTTCATCGTTTCGTACACAAGCAATCATAAGAGCAGACATACCGGCATGATTAAGTGTATCATACCTTGTAGTTGGAGGTAATAAATTTCCAGCTTGGGCCAATAGTTCAGCTCTTCCTGTTAACATCATTCTAAATGCTAAAGCTAATGTCGCCCTTTTTCCAAGTTCAGACGTATCATCACTTGGATTTGCATTCATGCTGGTAGTATTGTGTGCGAGAATTGTTTTCTTAGACGGTAATTCCTCATCGTGAGCTATTGGTCTTGCAGGACAGTCCACACCAGGTAGCAGTAATCGAGCAGCCTGCATTATATCGTCACGATCAATCAAAATACCATTTCTATATTCCGCATGGGCTGAAGCTACTCTTAACCATTCTACAAGTGGAGGCAAAACGATATATGCACGTTCATAGCATAGCTCTTGTATACTTGTATTGCTAGCACTTGTACTTCCTATATCGCTATGTTCTAATTGAGAGCATCGCATAAAATAGAACAAAGTTGACGTCGCTGCGTTCGAAAGCGCTGTATGCTGGAACTTTTGTTGTGCTCTTGTAACTAAGTCTTTCAATTCAATAACATTTCCAACACAAGTTGTCAATAGACACGGCTCCAAATTGGCGTTGGTGTTTAGGCTTTGCGAACCTGAACCAATTGATGATTGACTTGCCCACCGTGGCATTTTTAAAGCACCGGATGCAATTCGACCTGCGTTTAAATGTGCATATGGCTGTAGCAGTCCCCATAAATCGCCAGAACTTGCAATGGCATGTTCAAGAGCAGATGCAGTTAAATTAGAAGACGATTCACTGGCAAGACATTGCAGGAGGATTTCTTCCAACAAATTTTCTAAACCAGCACAAAGATATACAGCAGCATATTCATGAATAAATTTACCTAGTCTAGCATCGGCCATCCACCTATGAAAACGGCCAACAGGTAATTGTAGTCCTGCTCTAGACGATTTACTTTGCTTTAAAGCACTATCACCTGTAACGGCAAACATAGCAGCAGCTCTAAGACATGCTTTCGTGCAACTATCTGCCAGCGCAGGGCATAAAACAATTTTGAAAGCGCTTGCAACTTCGTGCTTTGAACACAATCCTAAGCATGACGAGAGCCTCTGAATTTCTCTAGCAATACGAACCAACGCACGTTGCAGAAGGTATCCTAAGCGAGGAATCGCTTCGACGGAAATTTTTTCGGAGTTTTCCCTGCATCTTCCTATTTTTATAACTCTCGTTAAGCAATGTTGACTCCACGGAGGATTCTGTAATTCAACTAATCGATTATGTGAATCAACCCACACAAATTCATCCGCACTCGTAACATTCGTATTGACAGTTTCTAATGACGAAAATCTTCCTAATCGTCTTGCTGGTTCAGAACTCTCACTTCCAGCACTTAGACTGCTATATGTACTAGTGCTTGTTTGAGAACGCATTGTTAACTGTTGTATAGCTAACTTGATATCTTCTAATCCACCGCCACCCCATGGGACTTTAGCTGGTGTTGCACGATGTCTTGATCTTGAATGATTAGTGCTGCCACGTGATCTAGTTGACCGATTACCAACTAAACGATCTTCCGGTAATGGTCCTAGTACACCACCACCACTTGGGGATGATGAACCATGACCGCCGGTATCTGACATACTTGCATGACCAGAAGAACGATTTTCGTCTGAGGAACTGTGGCATTCATGAACTCGTTGCAAAGCACGAAAATCATGATGATGTGTACGGGTTCCTAAATTCATATTTTTGGTTGTTTCTCCATTTGATTTAATACTATCAATTGCTTGATTTGAAGAATGATGATTTATTGATTTGCTATTTTGTTGTGATAAACTGGAACTTATCATTGGTGGCTGTGATTTAACTGGAATACTTTGAACTGTTAATCGTGTTGGCCCAGCTATTGATCGATGTGGTAAAGGTTTTGATGATGAAACATGATGCAAATCATTATCTAAACTTTGCGAACCATTTAATAATTTATTTTGATGTAAATCAAAATCACGATCTGATGTTGAGCATAAAATTGCTGATCTACGATTCATTTGATAACTGTTATGATGATTTTCTACACCAATATTTCCATGGTGACAGTTAGATGAAGTTAAATTTATTGCTGGTGATGAACAATTCAAATTCATATTTCCAGTTACGGTTTGAGCTGGTTTTAAGGCAACTTCTTTGGATATTCTCGGCGCTGGAGTAGCTGTAGCAGGACTTTGTATACGGCCCGATGGTATTCCTATTCCATTAGCTAAATTTATTGGTAATTGTTGATTATTATTGTTATTATTAGTTATTGCTGGAAATCCTCCTCCAGATCCATTATTTGCTGTATTACTAGATAAATTTAGTTCATTTGAAGGATTCTGATGTGAATTGTAAGGTGAGGATGATATATCCGCTGACGTTCTAAAATTATTTCCAGATGGTCTACGAAAAATGAAAAAAAAAACACTACATTAAAAAAATCCTAAACCTGTTGCATCAACAACAATAATTTTTTTATTTGACTGAAATCAATTAAACATTTAACTATAACTTAAAATAGAATTCAGTCTTTAAAAGGTTTTTCGATACAAGGAGCAAATTTTCAAGAACTAAAACTATGAGATCAATATAAAACCTTCCAGCTTGCCCTTATTAATTTGTCCGTTGCGTTCGTTTTTTTTTTGATTTATTATTCTCCTCCTAAATGTATGCAATTATAGAAGGTAATAAAATATTTTCACTGAAATTTTTATTCTTGAATTAAAAATAAAATAATAACGGAATTTACTTTTAAATTGCTATACAAACACTTTCATTTTTGGAGGAATAATTTCATATGCCACTAATTATATTTTTTATTAATTATGACCCTTGTAGAAAATTTAGGATCAAAAATTAAAGACTAGATTTTTTTTGCCAAATACAATTATTTTTAATATATTTTCTGAGAAAGGGAAAAGTGCTAGGGAATATAACGTTCATAATGTTAACAAAACTGGCTAACATATGAAATTGAGCAACACAATAAAATTTAAAATTTAAATGGGTTCACCCTTTGTACTCTTTTTTTCACGGTAAATCCCAATTACGTATATAAAAGGTCAGAATAATCTTGTAAAACTTCAAATACTATTTCCAGAAAATTATTTTAATCAATTTATTTTAACATAAATGTGGTGCTGTTTCTGCTTTCAAGCTAAATAATTTATTAGATTTCGACATTAGTATTGTAAAGAATGCATTCTAAAGCCTTACATAATTGAAATTTTATACACATAATACATATGCTGTACATTGTACATAAGTACTTAAAATAAATAATTTAATCTAGAATATAATTTTAGAATTTTAAGTTAATATTTTATGGTTCACACTGACTCATCAGAATATAATATAGAAAATTAAAGTCGTGAAACTAAAATTTTTTTTCTTAACCCTTTCGTTCCAAGAGCAAATTACCTACATATATTATTTTCCTTTTTAATTTTGAGATTTGGCAAAGAATGACTTTAAAAAAAGCTGTAATCACTAAGTATGTTTATTTTCTTTTAATTTTTATGATAAATTTGGGTTTCAAGCGAGATAAGATGTAAAACGCCATATAGAAACAGAATTCTGATTTTTTGTCTGAGGGTACATGGTAATTAAAAAAATAGTGTAATACATTTGTTGTATTTGAGTTGTCTTCATATAAATTACTTCTCACAGCGATTAGTCGATATTTTGCTTTATATGACTTATAAAAATTTTCGAAATTTTTTCAACATTCATAGTTGCTAATTTTTAAAGAAACAAACTAAGTTGCTAATTTTTAAATAAAACTTTTATTTTAACTCAAAGCTTTGAAATTTTTACACTCAGTAATTGTGAATTAATGAATTTAACCATTAGAAATATTATGAATTTCTTGAAAGACTTTTTTCGGGAAATTTTCCGAGACTTGGAAGGGCATGGCATTTATATTTAAAATAGTTATCGCATAAAAACTGTAAAGTTTTTTGAGACATTTTAGATTTTTTTCCAACCCAATTTTCAGGACTTAAACCTCTTTTTAGGACTAAAACCTCTTTTTCAGAACTTGTGACCTTGTAAATAACGTATTTCATCTATTTTAATGCGACATGAGTTTTGAAGTCACTAGCTGTTTTCGTTCTCAACTGAACGCTTTAATAAGAGATAGATGAACGTACATAGTTAGATCGACTTAGAATTTAATTTAGAGAGAAGATATTTAGAAATTGTCGAATATTGTTGAATACAAATTGAATATGTCCCTTATATAATATATGTAGCCGGGTATAAGAAATGCTTCTGTTTTATTTAATTATTTATAGCAGAATCCCAATAATTTACATTTTCTCCAATCCAATGAGGCTGCTATATAAAATTTAATAAAGTTAATCCAATAAGTTTTAAAAATTTATGGTTTTTGAATTGCTCTTTATGCTATTTAAAATTCGACATAATATGTATAATAATAGGACTTAATAATAGGGTTAGATTAGAATTAAAAGATTAATTTAGAATTATAAATTACTTTAAATTAATAAAGGAGTTACAATTTAGAGTTAATTTAAAATTTATTACCGAATTTAAACAATATAATTGGAAGAAGAATAGTACGAAATTTTTCAATTCTAATCAATTAGAATACTTTATTGAATAAGGTGGGCTTTAATAAACATAATGATGAATTCTTAAATCTATAAGAGCAAAATGATAAGATCCATGTGCTCTTAGAGATTTAAGAATTTATATTAAAGATGTATTGATTATATTAAAGATGTAGATTATATTAAAGAGATTATATCAATGATAAAATTGAAATTAGAAAATTCACGCATTAATTATTTTCCAAGAGTTAAATTTATATTTAATGGAAGTGCTTTCTAGATGGCATTTATTTATTTCAACACAATATTAGTTTTTCCGCTGATTAATACGCTATGTAAAAATTTTGTTTAAAATTTCGAAAACATAGAAAAAAAAATATTTTTTTTTTTACTTAATTTTTAACCTTGTACGCCATTCTTGTACAAAACTCCAATCAAATGGTTCTGGAATTGATTCAATTTCCCATTTTTTACTACTGTTACTATTACTATTATTATTCAATATACTGTCATCATTATAATCCGGTCCATTATTATAATTTTTATTATTTCGATTTAAATTTGTATTGCCACCTTTTTTAATTGTTTTTATTAAATTTTTAGCTTGCTCATATGTTCCTTCAATTTTAATATTAATAATACCATCTTTAATACTTTCAATAAATGATGGTAAAATATTATTATCATTATTATTATTATTATTATTCTTTTTATTATCATTACTAATATTTATAATACTATCATTGTTGCTACTATTATTATTGTTATTTTCACTCATCATTTTATTTGCACTATAATTTTTCTTATTAATCTCATATTCTTTTAAATTTTCAATACTTTTACTTTTAATCTCATTATTATCATTATTATTATGAAATAGAGTAGAAATATTATTATTTTTATTATCATTATTTTTACAATTCATTGATTTATCATTAGAAATTTTATTATTTTTATTTTCCTCTTTATCATTTATATCTTTACTAATTATATTGCACTCATTTAATCCGATTTCTAAACTATTATTATTATTATTATTTGAATTATTAGAATTATTTAGATTATTATCTTCATTACAACAAAAACTACTACTTTTATTTGATTCACTTGCTGATGTATTAATATCTTTAATATCTGGTATTTTTGATCGTATTTCATCAAGTAATCGACTGGCATGTAATAAATCATGATTAATTTTATTATTATTATTATTACTATTATTTTTTTGTTCATTATCATTATTTCTATTAATACTAGAATTAGCATTTAAATTATGAATTTCTAAATTAGATGAATTTATTTCTGATATATTTTTAAATTCTAATGAATTTTGTAATAGATTAGATGTTGATGATGAGGATGATGGTTGAAATGATTTTAAATTTTTCTCTTGTCCATTACCACGATTTTGTATTGAATCACCAAAATATATAACAACTTTATGTTTACCGATGCCACCGGCATTAGTATCGCCACAATTACTATCACCATTATCATTATTAACTTCAATATCATTTGATTGATTTTTTATATCATTATGATTTTCTTCAATAATATTTAATTTATTATCATTATTATTATCATTATTACAATGATAATTTTTACGATAAAATTTTGGTGACATTTGTTTCTGTTGTAATTCTTTAAGAAATATTGATTGAAATTTTGTTGTAGTTATTTTTGATTTTGGTGTTTTTATAATATTATCATCATTATAATTACAATTATCATTATTATCAAAATATGATATTGTATCAATAGCACGTCTTCTTAATATAAAATTATCATCATTACCTAATGGTGATGAAATTTTTAATGGTAATTGATAATTATATTGTTGTTGATATTGTTGTTGTCCTTGTTTACCTTGATAATATCCTTTATTTTTTAATATTGCAACTGATGGTAATAATGATGATGATGTTGATGATGATTGTTGTATAGATGAAGATGATGATGATGATGTTAAACGAAAAAATTTTCTAGCACTTTGACGTGCTGATGCTGATAAATTTTTTTTATTTGATGATTGTTGTATTGGCAATGGTTTTAATAAATTTTTATTATCCGTATTTTGTAAAGATAATGGTGATATTGTTGTTGGTTGACGTAACTCACGACATAAACTGCAATTGCAATCACGAGAACAATACATTTTTATTCTAAAGTGATTTTTATTTATTCTCGTGTATGTGTGTGTATTGATATAAGGTTTGTGTATGAATATTTCTAGTTTATTCGATTATATTTTTGTTGTTTTTTTGGTTTAGGTTCATTGATTCTATTCTGATCGGAAATAGGATTTTTTTTTTTTTTTGGTTTTTGTTGTGATTTTTCAGGTTGAATAGTAAATTATAATTGTTGAGTATTTTATAATGTAAAAACATTGATCACGTTTCACAAAAAAAAAACAAAAAGGGATAGACTGCAGGGATTTTTTTCCAATGTCTTTTGTGTATTGTGTTGCATTTCATGTAAACCTATAGGTTCCATATGGCGTGTTGTGGCAGTAAGATGAATATATTGATAATACAAAATGTTGTTTTTGTGTACAATGCAATTGCTTCACGGGTTTTTTTTTTCTTGTTGCTGTTGTTGGGAATTTTTCAATGAAAACCCTTTAAATTTCGTAAATTAAATGGTGTCATTTACAATATACTTTTATGTTATTTTTAATCCTATATAATTTTACTGCTATTACATGAGTATGTTGTGTGTATCACCTATTCTTACTGCTTTTAGTTTTTGTTTCCATTCAAAATTGCATTGGAACGGTTCGTTACGTTCAATTAAATTTACCAAAGTTCTTCATTTGATATTTTTTTTTTT